TATGCATTTCAGGATTTTAGGCTAAATGACTCATAAATCCAGTCAGGCTTATGGCCTTACATTCAGCTTCTTCTCCACCCAGTGATTACTTTATAGGCCGAGTGTTTCCAACACACACACACACACACACACACACACACACACACACACACACACACACACACACACACACACACTCACTCAGCGCACACACACACACACTCAGCGCACACACAGACGTGTCCTTGTGTGTCAGGGTTAATAGTGCTCCTGTAAGAGGAAGACACACTACTGAGAGGATGAGAGTGTGCTCTCCTGGCATATAACAGCCCTTCAATAATAAATGGGCTTCACACATTCACACACAGAGCGCACACAGAGGTGCGTTGGGCCGTAGAGGCGTGTGACGTGCGCACACGTGACGAGCGTCCGGCCCGCGCGTCTTTAATCAGTCGGCTGATCCGCAGCTTTAATGCGGCTGTTCCAATTACTGTAAAAGTCAGCCGGCTCCATATAACCACAAATATTGACACTTTATTGCACAACACATTTATGACATTTTGAAGGTCACGCCATATATTAGGCATCGCCGCAGCAGAGGGGGGGCTCAGACCGCCTGTTGACACCCCGCCGTAACTGTCCTGAGTATTGATTTTTTCTTTTCATGCAAAGATTTTCTGTTGGAGACGCGACATTAATGCGACGGTCACAGGTGAGCCTGTGAACTACAATCACAAAAACTACATTTCCCTACAGTTGCTTGCTTCTGTGCGGATGTTGTGACATTGTGACACAAAGTCAGGCATTTGTGTTAACAAATGTCTGCGTGTTAACATTTTTAAATAAACTGCACAGAAAAAAATGATTGTTTTTCAGGTTTTTCTACCCAACCTGAAAGTTTTACCGACACTTCTCCTTCTCACAGATTTGAGCTCAAATCTCAGCTTCCTGTTTGGTCTGAACACACAAAGCTCGCTGAGACGTTTCTGCTTTCAGCAGCAGGAGAGCTTCGTTTCTGCTTTGGACACTTTGTTGATCTCGGTGTCCGAGAGGAAGGTTGGCTACAGACTCGTGATTGGCAGGTCGTTAGCCAATGAGAGATGGGTTTCGCAGTCTGATCTGCCCCACGTTGTCGTATTTGGTTTCAGATGACGCTCACAGAGGTGCTGCCGGCTGGTGGTGGGAGGCTGTGTGGCAGCTTGTTTCTGATAGGT